AGCTCATCTTTTATAAAGCTTGCTCATGCTCGGCGTCGACGGTATTGTGCAAAAATTCATTAGCGCGTTTAAGTAACCTCTTTTTTTAACTCTCTTTCTCTCTCTTTTGCCTATATAATGTGCTATACGTGACTATTGTTTTGGCGGTTATAGGCTCTATGGAGCGCGTCGTGGGCGCGCTGCGAAATTTATAATCGCTCGCTTTGCATACATCAAAAAAAAAAAAAAGAAGAAAAAAATATTGGGAATAACGAGCGCAGCCACGATTACGATTTTTTACTACACGTACCACATTACAGCTGGCGAAGCATCGATGTACTACATCGTACAGCACGTATCGATTTGTTGCAAGATGAGTAAAATAGTACGCGTATCATAGCGCACATATGCACGAAGTTTGCGCGTATCTGGCACAATGTGTTTATAACCGATTTTCTCACCGCCGAGAGACGAGCTCGTATTCATTTATGTATGTACGTGTATATTCGCAGATGGAAACGTTTTCCATGTCGTATGTACACTATTGCGCGCGTGTACGTACACGGAGGTATAATATACCTGTGCCTTGGGATATATCCAAGGTCCGCGTCCGAGTGAGTTATGTGCGCGCTATACGTACAAGTTGCGGAGGATGGAGGACACAGCGGCGGCGGCTGCGGCGGTGGTCGCGAACATCCACAGAAACGCGAGCGCGCGCAGACACACAGAGGCTTATTATATTATAATGTGCAGTGGTCGTACATGAATAATAAGAAAAAAAATATATTGCACAGCTCGAACAATATTTTTTTTTCCTCTCTTTTTACGCAATATCGCGGTTGATAATTTCCATTTTTTTTAATCGCGCGCATGCACAATAATACTGTTCTATGTTCGTATACTTTATCGACGCATCGGAGAGAGCTTTAAATCCGTACCCGCGTCAATGTGTGCGACAGTAAACGCATTGAAAAATCATATTTATTGGCACTGCGCTAACGTTTGTTTGCATTGTAAACTGATGATTAATGTTCAATGGTAGTAGCTTAACAGTACGTGCGTGTCTGCAGGGTCTGTGTACGTGTAGGTCTCTCTCCTGGTCACTTTCGATCTCTTTCGAACGAACTTTCGATACATAGCATTCGATATAAAGTAACGTATGTACTCGTTCAACGGCAGCAGTAGCAGGAGCACCACATGCCACACTCGTACTTTCACGACGTGGTATTTTTTTATTTATTTTTTTTTTTTTATCAAATCATCGTATGCATCACGTGTGCACATGCACGCCACTTCCTTTTCATTGTGAACCTTTTTCACTTCTCTGATTTCAAGTAATCATTATCATCGTGTTTATTTTTTTCTAAATTATAAATGCATGTATAATGGAAGAGGAGTAGTAGGTGACAGACAATTGCACGTCCTTCAATTCATTACATATATTACCATGCGCGCGACTCACGATGATGTTTATTTTTTTTTCTTTTATGCGCGTACGAAGGTCAATCGTGACTCGAGCTGCAGCAGCTCTGCTGTTTATGCACATGCTCGCGCAGAGAGACGCAAGAGCGCGAGAGTTCAAAGTACTCGCTTTAGCCGAGCGCGTATAGTATTTGTACATAAGTAAACGCAGCAAATAAAAACGCCAATTTATTTATCCGCTCTACGTTTCGTACGAGTATGAGCTAATCACGAAAACTCGAGCGTCTGAAGAAAAATATTGATGTTCTCGTTTTTTTGCTGTTGTAGTTGTTCTTTCCAATCAATGTATATATCGATGGGAAATGAGCCTCGTAATTGTATCGCGTACCACACGAGATGGTGCGTGATTATGAATGAGTTGAGCATTTTTTCAACGGATAAGTAGGTCAACGCAACGCGAGAGCTCGATCGAGCGGATTAATTGATGCGACGAAAGCCCGATCATATTGAGTTATAAATATTTACTAATAGACGCACTACTGGACGTGTAAAGCGGCGCGGTGCAATCAGATCGAACAATTAAGTGTCGCGAGCTCGCACCGCGCCGAGAATCTCGATCTATGCGCAGTAGTATGTCTTCGAGCTTTTAATTAATCCAGATTATGGCTGGCAATTAACCAGTTTTCCTGTGCGCCACCGCAGTAGCTGCTACTACTACTGCTAATACTACCACTATGCACAACGACGATATTAAGTAATTGACATTTGGCGGGTACTACATAGTATAAAAGTGTCCATATAACTCGTCGAGAGCAGCCGAGAGCAGCTGTCCTCCTACTTTACGTAATGTTTATAAATGTACTCGCGGTCAGCGACACACACTCGAGAATGTATTGATTTATTTCAGTCAATCCGTTGATAATAAATCATAAAATTTCTAATAGTCGCGAAAACATCGATGAAAAAAAAAACACAAAACTTTGTACCTCTTGAAGGTTTGAACTGCGCGCGACTAGACAGCACTGCGTATATGTGGAAAGTTTGTCGTGTCGTGTATATGATTTCGCATTATTTGTCCGGAGGGCAAATGCCACGCGAGCGCGCGTGTACCAGCATGCAAATTTTCGTTTATTAATTTTTTTTTTCGCATACCGCTCTATGCATTAAATGACGCTTGAACGTTATAATATACACGCTAGCTAGCGATAGCTATTTCGAAAAGTGAATTGCGAAAATTTTAATCGTAAAAATTTTATATTTTCCAAGCGAATTATCTTAATTGCCTCGCGTCTGTGTGCCATCGAAAAAAAAATTTCGGCTTTTCATCCATTGGAATGGCGCTTATGGAGATTTTTCATCCGTGGGGCGCAAAAGTCGCCGCTTTGGGTCTCTGCGAGTATATATGAGTGACAACTATTATGCAGAAGTGACTTTCTAAGCGTTCGCGTATCGTACATAAAAGCACATATACACGCGGCTCCGAGCGAGCGTAATGTGCGTTTAATAAGAGACGAACGAGCCGCGGTGTGATACAATACGATTTTTGCGCGCTACTAATATTAGGCTTTCCATAAAAATAATTGCCACTTTTTTTCTCTCGTTTACAAGTACAAAAACACACATACACACACGAGTGTATATAATGATACACGAGTTTTTATCCCGGAATTTCCTTCTTTATAGCTATTCAACGCGAGCAACTCGAGTTGTACTTCATTGCTTGTTTTTTCTCCTTTCGCGCTAATTTCGCTTTATACGAATTTAATTTCCTTAAATAATCTTAACCACACCACGCAGCTGCGTTCGACGCATTTTTTTCCCGCACCATTATTTTGCAGGATGACGCTGTTTAAATATCGCACACGCACACACACGCACACAGTGCGTAAATCGTCGATCCGCTCGCGAAAGCAAACGCTGAGCCGGTCTCCTAAATGCACTCGAGTACTGCACAATTTATAAACGATATCTCACGACGCGTACGCGCGGGTCTCTTTTAATTACTTTTTCACACGCATTGCGGCACGCACAGCACGAGCGAGCGAGAGAGAGAGAGACCAAAAAGATATATCGAACGAAACGAAAGAGAGATAAAAAAGCGTCTACGTCCCGTATAAAGCTGACTAATTGATATAAATATCGGGGCAATTCTTCTGCCAATCAATTTCGGAAACTCTCCTTTTTATTTTTACGTAACCACGCACACAACACAACACACTTGCGACGGCGTTGGCGGTGTTGTTGTTGTTACTGTACAGCCTTTGGCCCCCTCGCGATCGTAGTTTTATAATAAACACATGCCCGCAGACACCTTCGTTACGTTACACCGAGATGAAGCGATTCTCCCAATTTGTTGAAGCTTGTGTATATCGCGGGTGAAAAAAAAATAGCACACGTTTACGTGAATATCGACATCTTTGTCGAGGTTTCTTTCCTTTTTTTTCAGCTCTCTTCTTATGCACGCGAATTGAGATCGCTAGGCCCGCTCGGCAGCCGAGAACCGAGAGCCGAGTGCGCGAAAGATGCGATTTCTTAATAATAATCGTGCAAATGCATCGCAGCGTGCGACGATTGAGTAATACACTCGGGCAAGCGTATTATACATATACACTCGCAATTACGGTGTACGGTCGTGGATGAATAAATAACGAAGAGAAGAAGAGGAGGAGGGAAAAAAATCAGTGCATCGCAAGCATAAAATGCGAACTGTACAGAGAGCGCACACATACATACATAAACGTGCAGTACTCTATGGTACGCGAGCTTCGAAGCGAACTAATTTAACTTTACGCACAAACCTGTTATACATTACGCTCGCGTGGCACATATCGCGGAATAAGGAAAGCAAATATACGCGCGGCTTTTTTTCTCTCTCTCTCTCTCTCTCTTCGACTCTCCTCTCTGTGTATGCCGCGCGCGGAGCGAGCGAAGCTTTTGAATTCTCATTTAGCTGCTTCGTATGTGTGTATAGCGCAATTCCGCCGCGCCGAGGTTATCAATGCTTGCTGAGTACAGTTGCGCGCGCGCGCGTTTTGTAACGCATATGATATGTGCAGTTTTGATTTGTTGCGCCGTTTGATCATTGATTTTTCATTTTTTTTTATCTTTTTTTTTCGTACATAACAAAGTTGCTGGTTACGCAGATTTACCTGTAATATTTTACTTTTTATCGTTCAATATGTACATGTTTTATTCAAGATTAAAGAAAAAATGTCTAATCCTGATTTGTATTGAATATTATCGTATGATTTGTGAAGTATTTACCTTTAGAGGGCTGTAATATGCCTCTAGGCGTAAGGGGTGTGACTCACCAACTTTTCAACTTAGCTTGACACAGGGACCTTAGACCATAATTGTATAGAAAATCGCGTTTTTTAAATATTTCAAAACCCCTATTCTATGAAGGTTAAATTTTTACGGGTGCTTAAATTTTTGTTGAATCCCAATAAGTAGTTGCTAAATTCATCTCAGCAATTAAATTATGAGACGGGCAAACTCTCATAATTTATCTACTTTCGTCTTAATTTATAATCAAAAAAGCTCGACTTGCAGTCGACAACTTCGAAAGCAGTACAAAAAAAAAATAGAAAAAAGCTCACCTCCTCGACTTCCTCGTGCACGGAGTATGCCGATGAAACCGCGACACTAACGAGTAAAAGCACCCACACTGATTTCCACTTCATGATTGTATTATCTAAAGGCTATGGAGCACAATTTATTCAGTCAAAGTTGTATTCTTCGGCTCCCACACTCGTCACTGCTTTTGATCTTCTTTCACTCATAAAACACGTTAGTAAAAAAACCAAAAGCTCACTGTTAAGTATAAAAAAAAGTGATAAAGAGAATCGATTCACTCCCGATTCATCAAACAATGGACACTTTTCAACTCTTCATCGATACAGTGAAAAAAAAAACATAAAACACTTTCTGTCACAAGCTTCAAAGCTTTAAACGATCATCGAACGCAGTCGGACAATGATATCGACGCTTCCACTGCCGCATCGGCAATGCAACATCGAGTCGCTCGCTCGGTTCTATTATACGAAGCGTACAGTGTGCAGTGCAGTGCAGTGCGTCGCGCCGCTATATATATGTAACGCCGATGCTGATCGTAGCGCCGCAAGAAAAGCCGGGCGCGAACGAGAGATCCCACACTTGCCGCAGTTTTGAGCGCGAGCGGGTCTAAGCTCCCCTGTCCGATATAGAAGCAACGGCAGTATAAACGACGGCTAGGAGCGCATATGTAGGTATATATATATATGGTATGTATAAGACCACGACGACGACTACAACTCTCGACTTGGGCTTCTCTTCTACCTCATCCGCGGGCAAGTGGCTGCGAGCGGTCGGTGCGCTCGGCTCCACACTCCGCCGCGCGCGAGCTCGTCCTTTCTACCACCACTCCGTTCGGGAGCGCAGCACAGCACACGACGTTCGTTGTGTGTATATGTATGTACGTTGTGATATGCTGCTGGGTGTGTGCGTGTGTATATATATGTGTGCAAGCCAGGCCAACCGCACACCGACTGCTGACTTTTTCGCTTTTACTCTCGTATACCGTGTGCCTCACGTGTCATCGCTTTTATTATAATGCCCTTTCTACTTTGTGTGTCGCCTCGCGAGCGCGCAAGCCCGGCATCGTGTATCCTATATTCGAAATGCGGCACGATCGTCCCTTTCGTTCGGAAGGGTCCACGATTTATATTGCAAGCATGCACTGCACACCCGTCGCGATGCCCTTCCAAGTCTCTCTCTCTCATTTTCGAAGGCTGAGTGAGTGGATCCCGCGCACGAGGGTAACGTATATTTTACTCTCTCGACTCATGGGCACGACGAAATGACTCGCTGATAAGTTTTTTGTTGTACATTGCCAACTTCGAGAATAAATACTTTTGGTCGAACCTTGGGAAGTTAATGCATTTTTAATACTCGCGAGCTGCAGCAGTTATATATTTTACTTTTGTTCTTCGAAGTTCGGGTGCCTATATACGAAATAACACATTCAGCAGCGCGCAGTATCCGACCTCGTTCATATATTGGCCTTGTTAAAAGAGGGCGAAGCTAAAATTTTCTTTTTACAGCTCTCCGCATCGTGCTGTAAGCTTTTATTTATTATCACTCGTTTGAAATCCGCGAGAGTGTGAGGCAGCAACAGCTCGTGTGCATGCACGTCAATAATAATGCCGAAGCGTGTTAATGTTATTTTTTTCCCTAGAAGCGATCGTCGCTGCCGAGAGAGTATGAGCTGTAAGGTTAAAATAAACAAGAAATATCGTTAGATCTCGTTGCTTGCACACACACATATACGCGGGATAATATAAATTTAACGAGCTCGAGCGCTAATGTACCTTTTTGCGCCTCGGAGCAAACAGCGAACAGTAGTGGCAGCATCGTCCGCGCGCCGTATTAAACTCTCTCGCGTGAATAAATGTATGAGCGTAATACCGGAGGAAGGTCGTCTGCGTCTCGTCGTCGTCGTCGTCGTCGTCGTCGTCGTCGTTGTGTGGCATAAAAAAGCTGCTGTTTACTGTGGCTCTCGCGAGCCTCGTTATACATTATATGGCACGAGATGCGGACTTAAACATTGGCTATTGGTCGTCGCACATTCGACATCGTGGAAACCTCGCTGCGAAGGAGGATAAGTGGAAAAAAATAAACAGCAGCAACAACAACAACGAAGAAAATAAATATAAACAGAAGAGTCCGTTTTTACGGCCAAATGTCGAAATCATCTCGGTGTAACGAACGCATGTGCGCGCGAGCATTGCTTACGCAGCTCCGAACTCGCTAATATAGTTCCCCGAAGAGTCGCCGCCAGCGAGTTCGACGCGTGTATTGTAGGTACACGTGAGCTGCACTTCTCGCTCTTTTTTATTTCGACTTCTCTCTCTCTCGCGTTCTTTTCTTTTCTTCTTTCTCGAGCTCGCGCGGGGTACAGACTCGTAAATACATCGGCAATTATCTATATAAGCAGGTTCATTTTTCTCCGATTCTCGAAGCGGGCATACATGTAAACGCGCGCGCCAAAGTGTAACTGCAAAAGAGCTCGAGCTCGTGTATGCGTGTGCTTTATGACATATGTAACACGTGTGAAAGCGAAATTCTTTAGCCGAGCTACACACGAGTGTATACCGTGTGTATACATAGACGAAATAGAAGCTCGCTAGGAATTTTCTTTCGACGTGTCACCGCTACTTTCGGGAAAAGTTTGCAAAGTTTTGTGTGTAAATCGTTGTCGCAAGTAGAGTAGCGGCTTTAGCCCGAATAACCCAAAGATAGAGAAGTCCAGCAATTAAATGCTATTATATATCGTGTACCTACGCGCGCGCGCGTGAGCGGCTCTTAATGATCCCGCCAATTTGCTCTCTCCCTTGGATTAATTTTGAAATGTCCAGGTGTAAGCGTGAGCACGCTGTGTTTTGACAACAATCATTATTATTGTCGTCGTCGTTGTCGTTGTTGTTTCGGCTTTTAAGTGGCTTCGAGGGTATAAAAATAAATAAAATTAAACAGAAGAAATGGGATCAACGGTACTGGCGTGCGACTTTTCACTTGGAAGTACACGCATACGTACGGTTTATTTTATTGCACTCGTCTGCGCTTCTCTTTCTCCCTTACTTGGACTGTGTGCAAATAATATGTAAATTATATCGGGTTAAGTAACTGCACGCAGCAGTTGCATCTTGAAGTTGCGACGTTCGGCATTGTATAAGGATCGATAAAATCGGCCGATCGGAAATCGCGAGTGCATCTTGAGCTCGTTCTGCGACTTGGGTGTCCAGCGCCCGGCTGCGTTATAACTTATAATCCGCTGCAGCAGCTGCGCAAACGACAAAAATATTCTGCAATTGACCCCGAGAGCGCGATGATTTATCTTTAATTTCTTTAAGCTTCCTTGAAAAAATTCAAATCTTAGCTGGAGGTTCGCGAGGTGCGAGAGAAAGTGTCGTAAAGTGCTACTGCTAGCTGCACCTATGTACGCACGTGTAATTATGTCTTTCAATAGTCGGTGAATAGAGTTATTTGGTTGGAATTTTAAAAATCGACCCGAAAAAAACCACAACTTAGAATTGCGCATTGTGTTAGTTTCGTTGTATTTTAGTCCGTGTTTAGCAAGTCGTTACACGCGGGAATAGCCGAGCTTTTTTAGTTTAATCTCGCGTAACGACGCTTGATACAGGCAAAACGCGAATGAGATTTCAATTACAAAATTTTACGATGTATCAAAGAGTTCGTTGCGTATAATAATATATAAATTTTGCATCGATTCAATACTCGATACGTGTAATTATATTATAAAACTGCCTTACGTACAAATACTTATTATCGTGTAAATTTACGCTCAAAAGTTTTCATTCTTTTGTCGCGGGCGCGCCACACTATATACACATAAGCGTGGGTAAAAAAAGCATTAATTTCGTAATTTCTCGCATGAATTACATACACACAATAAATTGAGCTAAGTATCGAAACAAAATACCGGCCCGATTTATTAAAGCGGAATTTAATTACAATACCCTCTTTTCTTTTCTCCCACCCCGTCCTGTAACCACCCGAAAAGCATACACTCCAACAGGATCGGCTACCTTATTTTTATGTAAGGTGTAAAAGTAAATGAGTACCTTTGATACTCGTTTTATGTATTCAGCTTTCACGCGGGTGAGCATAGCAGCTTATATACCACAGCCAGGATCGTCGTCCCATATGTGTTAATACGCGCGCGTGCGCTCATGCTGATATTGGACTTCGCTGTATATACCGCGTCCAACGAAGTACGTGTACGTACGTGCGCTGCTGCATTGCCGATTTTTTTCTCCTCGTGTCCGACACGATAAGTTCTTAACTTTCGATTTCGTGCCTCCCGCTGTTACTGCTGCTGGTGCTCGGGCTGTTGTTATTTTCGTAGCTGCCCGCGCGTGTTGTTACTTGACTGATTGAATATACCGATTTTTATTGTACGCCGCCGATTTTCCTTCCTCGACGCAATAAAACATAATCCCTGTTATCGCTGCGTACAATTCTTCGCTTGTATCTATACATAGACACCTATTAAAATTCCATCGAGACGTGTTCTACAAGCGACGTAACAATGAATAAAGATATAATATGCATCTCCGATAATTACTCACGCAAGCAAATTAACATTTCTTCGACGCGCAGATACACGCATAAAAAAGTGAGTTTTATATTTATATACGCGCGTCGATTGCGATCTGCGTACTACAATTTGCTCTCGATCTCCCAAGGTTAATCATCGATCGCGAACGTTGAACTAAAACTTTAATGTCTATTCGCGTTAACAGCTTTTTAATCGCGGCCTCTGCATATGTATGCTTACGTACGTATGTAATGTACACAAGAGATAGTTGACATTTTTATTTTCGTACCGACACACGAGAAAAACTTTCTTCCGTTCTTGGGCGCGTGTGTTAATATGTAAGAAGTCAAATTGGCCAAACTGGTGCACATGGCTTATACGTTATATTACCGAGGCTGCTGCTGCTGCTATTCTAATTAAACGAGCATCGAATTATCAAACGTGTTTCACTTCGTGTTTCATGTAGGTATACATATACGATTGCTGCCGCGTAATTCGCGACGGACGTTTAATATGATTTATTTGTTTGTTTTTCCAATCGTATTAATCATGGTCGGCTAAACACCGACACTTTCGCGATCTCCCGATTCATTATACTGTAATATAAGAACATTATATAGCGAGAGAGATGCAGTTGTATAAAGCTGCCGCGCGTGCCCGACGTCAGTCATATTGTTTATATATCCCTCTATCACGAGACGTACATAAATATAGTGATAAAAATTTCAATTTTCACGTTTCTGGTTGGTTGGT